AGCACAGTTCAATGTGTGTATGTCAATTCAATGAATGAATATGGACTACTGTAATACAATTAATGTTACTGAACTTGAACAACATTGGAAATGGGAAATCTGTTGGGAAAATATGGCAAGAACACAAATTAGATTCCTGACATTGCATATTCCAACTTTCCATGCGAGCTTTTAACAGCTAGATGAGAATTTTGCAAGTGAGCAGTGACGGACCTATTTGAGTGCATTAATCTCTCATTAACTAACTTTGTCTCATTTATGCAGTTTGCTATTTTCTCAGTCAGCGCAGAAAAAACTTGACAGTGACAATCCCTAACATGAAAATCAAGACCATAAGAAGGCAGATATAGGAGCAGAAGTAGGCAAACTTAGCAACAGTACATTCACTTCTATCATCCAAGTCATTAATATATATTGTAAATAATTGTGGCCCTGACGCTGATCCCTGTGGCACTTCACTAGTTACAAGTTGTCATCCTGAAAATGCCCCCTTTCATCCCAACTCCGTTTGCTATTAGTTAGCCAATCCTCTATTCATGCTAGTATACCACCCCCAACACCATGGTTTCTTATATAAGTAGCCTTATCTGTAGTACCTTATCAAATGCCTTTTGGAAACCCAAATAAATTACATCCACTGGTTCCTCTTTATGTATCCTGCTTGTTATCACTACAAAGAACTGTAATAAATTTGTCAGGTGTGATATATCCTTTATGAAGCCATACTGACACTGCTAGGCTTTATTATTTATTTCTAAATTCTCTACTATAACATTCTGTATAAAAGATTCTAGAAATTTACCAATGTTAAATTTTAAGCTAATTGGTCTGTAGTTTCCTGTTTTTATCTCTTATTTTGAATAAGGAATAAGGACACAAAGGTATAAAAGAAGGGGGCAGTTGGAAGAAGCCCCAGAGAGCTAACTGCCATCCGCTAGAACTAACAGTCCTCAGCTGTCAAAGAGAATCGTTGGCTCTCACAGCCTCCTCTATGTCTTAGACAAAGCACCATCTAAATAACAAAGGTACAACTAGTTAATATTCCTGACAGAAGAATTGACAGAGGAGGCATGCCTGACAGAAGAATTGGTGGAGAAGCTACAAAGCATTCCGAAAGACACATAGCTGGCCTGAAATTTGAGAGACTAAATTCTGTTTTTTTTAAATAAGTGGGATTTGTATTTATTGGAACATCAAATTATTAGAATCGTGTTTTATTCAGGAATAGTTCGCAGTTAGAAGGGATTTATTCGGTTTGTTAATAGTTTAGTTGATTTGTTCACTCTTAGAGTGAGATAAATAGATTGTTACTTGTTGATTGTGAAGTGAGCATCAGGGATTTATTTTGTTTAACTACTAGAAGTCGCTGAAAGTAAAGTTAGGA